GTCTTCTGTCTCCTTCCTACCGAAAGACGGGCAATACGCGACGCGTCACGCTCCTCGATATTTCGATATGCGCTCATGTTTCTTTTACAGCATTTTTATTGTATAATGTGTTTATAATATGTATCTGTATATATATATGTATACACATACATATTATAAACATATTATAAAGAATAATATTTAAATAATTATATTTGTATTATATATATATATATATATATATAAATATAATATTTAATATATTTATAATATATATATATATATATATGTATATATATATTTATAAATATATTTATAATGTATTTATATATATATATATATATATATATATATATATATACACCGTACAAATATAAATATGTACTAATTATATTACAAAAATATATTATAAAACTATTTAGTTTTTTATAATAATTTAACTTGTTTTCTCTCTCTCTCTCTCTTTCTCTCTCTCTCTCTCTCTCTCTCTATATATATATATATATATATACATTTAAAATAATAAAATAAAAAAAATTAATGAGTGGCGATTTTCCACACCACCCACGGGGTATCACCAATGGCGCGTTAGATTTTTTTATGTGGATCTTCGCCTAGAGCCCTATTATACCACATTGCATTATTTTATCATTTACAAGTATGATGTCTGTTACACAGACAAGATGTTTTTAATATTTTTACTTTCCACAAATATGATGTCTGTTACACAGACAAGATGATTTTAATACTTTTACTTTCCACAAATATGATGTCTGTTACACAGACAAGATGATTTTAATACTTTTACTTTCCACAAATATGATGTCTGTTACACAGACAAGATGATTTTAATACTTTTACTTTCCACAAATATGATGTCTGTTACACAGACAAGATGATTTTAATACTTTTACTTTCCACAAATATGATGTCTGTTACACAGACAAGATGATTTTAATACTTATACTTTCCACAAATATGATGTCTGTTATACAGACAAGATGATTTTAATACTTTTACTTTCCACAAATATGATGTCTGTTACACAGACAAGATGATTTTAATACTTATACTTTCCACAAATATGATGTCTGTTACACAGACAAGATGATTTTAATACTTTTACTTTCCACAAATATGATGTCTGTTATACAGACAAGAATATTCTTAATACTACTTTAATAATACCTACTTTTTACAAATATGATATTTGTAACAGACGAGATGTTTTTCACGTATTTATCTTTTACAAGCGTAATGTTTGTAATAAATTTATTATTTATGAGATGATGGGCCAGCTATGTCAATGGTATCTGCAGCATGTAATTTTAAAATACTTTTATTTTTTTTAGCAACGGTAGCATATAACTTATCCGCTGACATAAGAGACAAATGCTTTTCATCAATTTTCATTTTGATAGCTGTCTCGCCTCTCGTTTTTAATGCAGATTTAAATACACAAATAGCATTAACAGTAGCTGACGAAAAACTATTACGTTTTTTTGTTTTTAAATTATTTAAAAGAGAAAACATTCTCTCCGAATCGGCATTTGAATTTGGAAGAGATCGAATAGTACTTATAATATTTGTTAAATTGGGATATTTAGCAAGATTGTTGTGTCGATTTTGTAAAATTTTTTTCCACATGCTGTCGAAATTTAATGTAGAAAAGTTTTGTTTTTCTTCTATTGTAAAATCTGATGGTAAGGCCATCCATTCCTTCTTTAAATCATTTTCATCAAAACCGCCGATAGTTTTAGCTATAAAAGAAACATCATTGAATGATGTTTCTCTATTGTTATCAAATAAACTTATATATGGTCGAAAAACTTGTAACTTTGATAAAAATATATTATTTAGAGGTAATCTTTTACGAATTTCTTCTGCAGCAGTCACATAAAATAATAAACAATTCTCTCGAACAATTGTAACTATGTTTATGTGACCTTTCAGCGTTAATTCGTTTAGATATTCCTCACATTCTGATCCCAAAATAATTTCATTAGTAAGTTTTTGATTTTCTTTTAATGAAAATATAATATTTTGTAACGCACGGTTTTTCCCGTACCGCGAATTTCTGATTGCGGATAGCCGTCGGTTCCAGGTATAAGAATAAGATGCACGTGTGCTTAAATGATGCGTTTATTTGTATATGTAGGCGGTACAAATGTGTGTCTGTGTGTGTGTGTATGTGTATATGTTTATAAGTGTGTGCTGATCTGAGCTGGGTTGATTTGGTCGCCGCGAGTGTTAAAGCGCGATAGATCGATAAATCGTTGTGCGCTCGGAGCGGCGGTGGTGAGGCGCGATATAAGTATAAACTATCTAATTACGGTAACAATAGTTTCAGTCGTGCCTCGGGTCTTGACTAACAGGCGAGGATATGTCGCAATACCGGAGTATGTAAATTATAATTTCGGCTGGATGCAACCGTGCGGTTCCCGGTGTTCGATGCGTTCGATAAATTTCTTGTCGTGCGCGTTTTGCGCGCGGGTTTATTGCGCTCGCTTACGGTTGTTTGAGTCAGTGGTTAAGCCCGGTGGGATGGCTCTTTAAATATTATTTGTTTCCGAAGGATATTAGGAGTAGGATGGCGTCGCGACGCTAGCAAGCGTCGGAGGCGGCTCGTGTTCCACCTCGGGATAGATGCGACGCCTGAAGTATATTCGGAGGCGATTTTGAAAGCACCGATATCAATCGGCGGAGGCAGCGTTCGCACTACCTTCTGGCCTTCTGTTTTCGCAGGATTCCTCTTTGTCTCGCAGCTTGCCTTCAGACTAGCTCGGTTAGGAGGATCGGAAGGATCTGATCTCAAGTGTCACCGGGAGCCCATTTTATACTGCTAATTACGGCACGCGCCGGCGTATTTGTTATTAACCCCCACCGGGCGACGGAAAAAATAACGGTATATTCGTCGCGGGGTTCTCATTCGGCGGCTCCCGGTGACGGTGTTCGGGATGCCGCGTGCGGTTCTCAACCGGCGGCTCCCGGCCGACGATGTTCTGTCGGACTTCCTACCCGGTTTTTGCTAAGGTCAAAAAAGTGGGCACACAGCCCTCTGCCCGACCGGTGGTCGTCGGGCGGCAGCTTCCGGCTGATGTTTGCTGGGAAACGATGCATTCTGGGGTGCATCGTTACAATTTGAAGAAAATGGTTTTAAATATTCTTCTTTTATAAAATTTCGACAGATTTGGAAAAGAAAGTTTAAAGATTTTGGATATAATAAATGAATCCTTGTTTCTAATGCTTGAAAAAATGCATTAAATGCATTAAAAAAATTCAAAACATATTTTAAAAATAGAAAATAAGCTTTTATCTCCACGTTGTCCATCATAGACAAGAGATATTCTCCAGAATTTGTTTTTTCGCTCACAACCATTTCAGGAAGAAAGTATTTAATTGTATCCCAAGATTCAAGAAGTCTTTCGATACATAAATAATGCGAAAGCCAGCGCGTATCACATAATTTCAATATTTTGCGATTTGTTTCTTGGAAACATTCACAAAATTCACGAAAAATAGCCGTACGTTTTGGACTGCTATTGAGATAAGTAGCAATTTTTTTTAGAAATTCTTCGCAATATGCAGGCATTTTAGAACATGCAGCGTGCGCTGCTAATGCGGAGGAATGACATGGGCATGAAAACGTTAATAAATGTGGACATATTTCTTCTAATTTTTTTTTAAACGATAAATGTTTTCCTGTCATAACAGATGCATTGTCACATGATAAAGCTACGATATTTAAAAATGGAATCTGTAATTTCCACATTTCACATTTAAATGCCTTAAACAACTTTTCTGCACTTGAATCTTTGGCATCAATATCAATTAATTTAACTAATTGTGAGCGAATATCTAATGTCTCTGGATCAACGTATCGAACAAGAAAAGTCATCCATTTATCATTAGTTATATCAGATGTTTCGTCAATAAAAATTGAAAATTTTGTATTCTGAATTTTATTGACGACACGATCTGTTTCAACTGGGCATAAAACATTTGTAATAATGCTTTTACATTTTGTTCGGCCCATGCTCATGCTTTTTAACACATTAGGATCTTTTCCAATATGTTGAAAAAAGTTGAGAATTTCTTTTGCAGTTTGATGCGAAATATTTTTATCAGCAATTAATGCAGCATATCGAATTTCTGCTATTTTTTTTCGCTCTTCAAACGACAAAAGTGAATCATCTGTCATGTTTATATTTTCGTTTGTATTCTTTGTTCCTGTTTTAATTTTACATATTTCTATATGCGCTTTGGATTCTGCGTGACGATAAATTTTCGATAAATCACCTCTCATTGATTTATCACAAAATGAACAAAAAAATAAATTTTCATCATGTGATACTTTGCGTAACCATGGCTTAAATAATTCTATTTCTAGCCATTGTTCTTGAAATTTATATTTTTCGGATATTTTTTTATCTGAATTTTTATTATTATTTTCACACACATTATTAGTATTTAAAGCTAAATTATTTTCTTTAATATTATTTTTATGACACGCAGAATCCACATGTCTTAAAATATGTGTATTGCACGAAAAATTTTTATTGCATATACTACAATAATAAAGACTATCGTCGGATGGTACTTTGCGTATCCAAGATTTATATCGATCATCATTGAGCCAAGCATCTGAAAAGCTTCGCTTAAATTTTTTTTTCAATTCATCACTCATTTTTGTGAAACAAAAAATAGACAGAAACAAAGAATTAAAGAAGCTAAAGATGAAAAATGATATATATATATATATATATATATATATATAGAAATTTGAAATAATCAGAACTCACACACAAATCGGGATTGTGACAGTTCTTGAACACCAAGATTTCAGAGCACGTATAAAAAAATACGTTTACTTGATAGTACAAGGCGACAAGATTATCTGATGAAAATAAATGCCGCGAAATAAATGAACCGCGTAAAACAAATTAAACGGCATGAAACAAATAAACAAATGCCGAGTGTGTCTCATTGTCTGTTCATCCAAGCACGGCGACAGATCGAATATGTCTCGTAAGTAAATCATTATTTATACAAAGATATTAAGAAATAATTTAATCTTTAATTTCTATTTTAATTTTTTTCTTCACATTTTATAGAAGACATTAATGAAGAGATGGACGCTTTGGTGCTGCAAGATGCTGCGCAGCCAACGATGCATCAGCAACATTTGTTGCATCAGCTGCAAATATTTATGCAGCAGCAGCAGCAGCAGCAGCACCAGCACCAGCACCAGCACCAGCATCAGCACCAGCACCAGCAGCAGCAGCAGCAGCAGCAGCAGCCGCCGCCGCCGTCGCCGCCGCCGCCGCCGCCGCCGCAGTCGTCGCAACCGCAGCCGCAGGGAGAGGAGCAACAGCAGGAAAAAAATGGTACATTATTTTTTATATTAAATTATATTTAATGAAATTATATATATACAGGGTGTCCCACATAGAAGTGGCCATCCCCTTTTATCTTTTAAACTAAAAGAGATAGACCATAACAAATATATATGAAATTAAATGGCTTTAACTGAGCTTTATTATGAGTATAGTGGTTGATTACAAAATTTATTTGTATTAAAGAACGGAGAGATATGTATAATTTTTTTATAATAATGTAGATATTTTGATATAATAAAAGTTGTAGCGCTGTTTGAAACGAATATAACGATGTATAATTTAATGTAAATATTTTACATATTATACGAGATTTTCCGGCTTGAATTATCGCGGGCGACGTCCACCATTTCATCTTCGGCCTTGCGATATAGCCAACTTCTGACTGAGTATCATAATTAAATGACAACATGACATACGTCAACCTCTAATGCACTAGTCAGAAGTTAGCTATATCGCAGGACCGAAAATGAAATGGTGGATTTCGCTCGCGATATTTCAAGCCGGAAAATCTCGTATAATATGTAAAATATTTACATTAAATTATACATCGTTATATTCGTTTCAAAGCGCTACAACTTTTATTATATCAAAATATCTACATTATTATAAAAAAATTATACATATTTCTCCGTTCTTTAATAAAAATAAAGTTTGTAATCAACCACTATACTCACAATAAAGTTCAGTTAAAGCCATTTAATTTCATATATATTTATTATGGTCTATTTCTTTTAGTTTAAAAGATGGCCACTTTTAGGTGGGACACCCTATATATATATATATATATATATATATATATATATATATATAATAATTTGTTTTATTCTTCAGAAAATAAAAAAAATAAAAGAGGAGGCGGGAAGGCCCGTGCCCGCTGGTATGCTCAGCGCGGCAGGGCTGGCGGTCGAGGAGGCGACCGAGGGCGAAGAGGCGGCTGGGCCCGAGGAGGCGGCTGGGCCCGAGGAGGCGGTTGGGCCCGAAGAGGCGATCGAGGCCGACGAGGCGGCCGGGAAACAGTGATCAAAAATTACTACTATTATTAATATTATAAATAAAATTAAAAATAAAAAAATAATTTATAATTCATTGAATATTTATTTATCATAGAATACTTATTCCTTTTATCCTTTATTCGTAGATATTTTTTTCTCATATCAATACAATGTGGTATAATAGGGCTCTAGGCGAAGATCCACATAAAAAAATCTAACGCGCCATTGGTGATACCCCGTGGGTGGTGTGGAAAATCGCCACTCATTAATTTTTTTTATTTTATTATTTTAAATGTATATATATATATATATATATATATAGAGAGAGAGAGAGAGAGAGAGAGAGAGAAAGAGAGAGAGAGAGAGAAAACAAGTGTTAAATTATTATAAAAAACTAAATAGTTTTATAATATATTTTTGTAATATAATTAGTACATATTTATATTTGTACGGTGTATATATATATATATATATATATATATATATATATATAAATACATTATAAATATATTTATAAATATATATATATACATATATATATATATATATATTATAAATATATTAAATATTATATTTATATATATATATATATATATATATAATACAAATATAATTATTTAAATATTATTCTTTATAATATGTTTATAATATGTATGTGTATACATATATATATACAGATACATATTATAAACACATTATACAATAAAAATGCTGTAAAAGAAACATGAGCGCATATCGAAATATCGAGGAGCGTGACGCGTCGCGTATTGCCCGTCTTTCGGTAGGAAGGAGACAGAAGACTGTATTCTGTCCTCTTCTACTATCCGAAGCTAGCCGAAGCGCCGAGCTCACACGTACGCTTACGCTTACATCCTCATTACCCCCTCCACGCCGTGTTGCATGTTGCTTGCGGCGGAGATCTGGCAGCTTTGGTATAAACGCGCCGCGCACTATGACGTTAAGCGACAACATGATCGATTACGTGCATTGGAACGATCCCAACGAATTGGTGGATCGTTTGCGATTGCTGGACGCCTCGCATCGAGCCGCAACAATGCTCACGACAATGAAATCTTGTCAATTATCGAAGAACTTCGTGAGGCATTATTATAAATTAAACTATGCGTCGACGATACGTGTCATTCGATCAATGTTCTCGATACCGAAATGTCGATTAATAAATTTGGATTATCGCTGGAAACGTCGAACAATTTGTACTATGAATGGAATGGATTATTGAGAAATTACGTTTGCGATAACGCTTTCTGTCAGACTACTACCGGCTTTGACGTAAGGTCGCGCAAGATTCAACGCGTAGCACAACCGGAAGCTGATACCAACGCCGTCAACAAACGATACGTGGATAAACTTTTGAGAGATCGACAGGGAGAAATTGAACAAAAAATTATCGCGCTCGAAACAAACGTACAGGCGCTGCGATTAATGATGGATGAGATAAAGAATGTGCTGAGATATGCAACATCTGACTCGGCACAGTAAGCGAGATATACGGATATACTAATATCGCATATTAATTATGCCTCGATCAAACGTGCGAGAGAACAAAAACACATCTGAAAAGTGGCAACTAGTCGAGGAATTACATGCTCCGGCGAGAAGAAATTTCCCACGAAGACGCGTCATTGTACGCGGATACGATGATCTGTGGCTGGCGGACGTGGTGGACATGCGTTCGTACTCTCGACTCAACAAGGGTCATAAATACATACTCACGGTTATCGATGTGTTGAGCAAGTATGCGTGGGCCGTACCGCTCAAGAGTAAGAGCGGGAACGAAATATCCAAACGATCGCAAAGATTATTGGAGACGACAAAAGATGACCGAAAAATTTTCAAACCGACAGAGGAAAAGAATTTTACAACTCGAGTGTGCAGAAACTCATGAAGAAACACAACATTAATCATTATTCGACATATTCCGTTATGAAAGCCTCGGTCTTTAAACAATTCAATCGTACTTTAAAAAACAATATGTGGAAAATGTTTACGTTGAATGGAAATTTTAATGGATCGACGAGTTATCTCGACTAGTTGCAGAGTACAATACGCAAAAACATCGCACCATCGGTATGAGACCTGTCGACATCACTCCGGCGATCGCCGAAAAACTTTTAAATACGGTGTACAGCAACGTAAAAATTGCGGCTCCGGCAAAATTTAAAGTAGGCGATTCGGTACGTGTGAGCAAATACAAGATCATCTTTGTAAAAGGTTTCACACAAAAATGGACGATCGAAATTTTTAAGATTATCAAGGTTCAGAAAACTAATCCCGCGACATTCATACTCGAAGATTCGCGGGGAAATCCCGTCGCTGGAGGATTCTACGAATACGAGTTACAACGCGTAGCCAATCCCGACGTATATCTCGTGAAAAAAATTGGGTGACAAAAAAAGGGTGACGAGGTTTACGTGAAATGGTTGGGAATGGATAAATCATACAACTCTTGGATTCATAAAAATAATGTATTGTAAACATTTATTAAAACATAAAATATGCATATAAAATATATAAAATTTATTAAAATATAAATATATAAATACAAAAATATATAATATAAAATGTACAAAATATATACATGGTTATGTACAAAATATATATATACAAGTAGTTAGTACTAGGCGGATTCTAACTCAGGTCCTCACAGTGGAGGTGAGGTGCGAGGGGATCTCAGCGGAGCGGGAGTATGACGTCACGCGGGGTTGCAGGGTGGGGGATGCACGTGTTGGATGTTTTATGACATGCATAAACAAGAAAAAAGGGCGGTATTCTTTTGAAGATGATTTTGGGCCTAACCAAAAAAATCATTTTTTATCATCTTATTTTATTTTATTTTATTTTTTATTTTATTTTTTATTTTATTTTTTATTTTATTTTTTGAGGAAAAATTTTAACAGCGCCAATGTTCGACTGCTTTGTCTCCCCCCCGCTCCCCCCGTTTACATATCAGCGCCAATGTTCGACTGCTTTGTACTCTCGAGATACACCCTTAATATAGATAATTCCAGGTTTTTTTTTCCCGTTCGACGTATAAACAATAGAGATTAAGCGGACAAGCTTTCAGAGATTATCGGGGGGACAAAAATTTTTTTTTGCAAATGGGATATTGTAAAAAAACCTTTTATACCCTTATATATATATTTTTAATAACTTTATTTCATAAACTTATATTTTTGAGATATTTCGGTCCAGCCTTTGTCCCCCATTTACATATCAGCACCGATGTTCGACTGCTTTGTGCCCTTGTCGCGTGTGTGAGAGAGAACGATGAGAGTGTGAAAAGAACGCATACGAGAGAGAACGATACTTATAATAATAAGACTTATAATTAATGCGAGAGCGCACGAAGGATTGGAGTGTAAGGAAAGACATGTAAATAATTGCATTTTTTTGGTTATAATTAAAGATATATAGTATAATTTATTTGTGATTTATTTATAATTTATTTATAATTTATTTATGTGTGAGTTTAATAAAAAGTATACAATATAAAAGAATTAATAAAGAAATTAAATTTTCGTACATAAATTTTCGTGCGTAAATTTTCAAACATAAATTGTTCGCGAAAAAATTTTTTTTAAGACATGTACAAGGTATTTATACATATATATTTTACTTCCTCCTCCTCCTTCTTATATATATTTCGTCCAATTCTTTCTCATCTTTTGAATGTGGGAAGGTACAACGCAGAAAGAGCATGAACATCCAAATAAAAATATTCAATATGATGGTCGCAGGGGATTGCTCCTGAAACAAAAGAAAACATATACATTTCATTAGTTTAAATTATTTAATAATTTATTTTAAGATACTTTTGATATAATAAATTAAAAGATACTTACAATGTTATCCATGACTCATCTATTTTAATGTTTGCAAACAGGGCACATGTCGCATGGCATTACTTGATGTAAAGATTTCCTGCACTCTCTGCATGACATATTCTCTATATTGCAATAAGTTGTGGTTCTATGTTTCCGAACAGATTTAGCCTCTACAAATAAAAACGCTCGTTGGATAAAGAAATCGGTGTAATATTTCGAATTTTCTCCATTTTCTTCATAATACTACGATATGCAACATATTTTTAGCGTTTCATTCAATGTCAATATTTCAGGTAGTTCTAGGTGTCGTTGTTTTTTTTGCCATAATTCGTCATCATCCTCACTATCATCACTATTATAATCACTATCCGTCAAGGGTTCTATTACATCAAGTAATATTTCATTATCAGGCTCATCCTCGTCTGATAATTCGTGGTCACCAATATCCATCTCTCTCTCCTCTCTCTCTATCTCCATCCTCTCAGCCACAATCAGATCCATATCGTAATCATCATCATCGATAATAATTACTTCAGCCATTGCACAAGATTACACACAGAAGAGCAACGAAAGAAAAACACAGAAGAGCAACGAAAGAAAAAATGATACTCTAGTGCAGCTCCTTTTCCTTTTATATATTTTTTAACATAAAACAATATACAGCTGTATTCCTTGGAAGAGGATTGCATCTTAGGGCACAACCTTTTTTCTTTTCTTTTCTTTTTCTTTTTTCTATCGATGTTCATGCTCTTTCTGCGTTGTACTTTCCCACATTCAAAAGATGAGAAAGGATTGGAATATATATAAGGATTGGAATATATATAAGGAGAAGGAGGAGGATTGAAACATGTCAAATCATAGTACGGAGGCGCGGGGGATGTTTGGGGACGTGTTGGATGTTTTATGACTAGCATAAACAAAAAAGAGCGGTATTTGAAGAGGATTGGATGTTAGGGCCGGCCCAAAATTATTTTCCATATTTTTTCTTGGAAGAATTGCAACGTATCAGCGCCGATGTTTGGCTGCTTTGTGCTCTTACCACGCGTGTGAGAGAGAACGAATTTTTTCTGAGATGTAAATAAAAAATGATTATTACGATACACCATACTTATTTATTTTACGCAAAGATAAAAAGGTTTAGACGAAATACAGGGATGATTGAAGCGCATCAAGTCACTGTGAT